AAAGAAAAGAGAATTTCCAAAAGAAATGTTTTGGCCTCCCTATGCATACAGGTACGCCGTCCTCCTGTTTCATGTTGGCTTATCCGAGGGACCAAGACGCCAGTATTAGGTCCCTAATTACTATCAGCCATTTCATAACCTATAATAAATTCTTTGTAATATATAAATTGCCAAGTTATCACAAATATCCAATTCAAATGTATTTGGAAACAAAAATAATAGGACTAAACAAAAACTGAAGGGGACAAATGTTACAGTAATTAATGCCATGTTTGTAAATAATTATCGTAATCATATGAAACCATTCTTACAACGTGCAAAATATTAATATCACTTACTTTGCAAGACTTGTATTTTCCATGTCTACCATTCCATTATATGGCAATTATGAAGTGAAGAAACGACGACAATGCGGCATGCAAAATTGATGTGGCAAGAGATGAGTTAACTTAATACAATCATATTGAAAAACTTTTTAATCAAAAGAATAATGCGATATTAATAAATGAGTGACAGGATTTGAAACTGAGAATCCTCAAATGAATTTTTTAAACTTTTATTCAGTGGGTGAAGTCATACTGATTTAATGCTTTGTATTTTTTAACATAATTCTTTAATTTAATTTTGCTTGATACACAGCAAATTAAAATAGTAATTAGAATTGAGAGGAAACTACTACTGTTATCTCAAAAGTCAAATCCTTTTACTCTTTTTCCAGATAAAAATAAAAAAGTTGTTGAACTTTTATTATTGATATGTTCAAAGTTATTGATTGCTGTTTTAATGACAGTTATTTTTCTGAAACCATGAAGACTTCAATTTACTTCAGAATCTTCAATCATTTTTTCACTTACATAACTTAACTCTTCAAACATTTTTTATAAGATTTCTCAAAAGATAAGTCTTCTACAAAACGCTTCTTCTACAGTTTCATATTACTTTCTGGTGAAGAAGTGAATTTTTGTTGATTTCCATTTATTTAATTGTGGAGGTTGAAGTTAGAAGATAGAAGATGAATATTTTTTTATCATGCCATGAAAATTCAAGTTTGTTACCTCATTTCAAAAGATGTAATTTGTCCAACAGGAACAGCTCAGATACACTGGGGTCAAAATTTAAAGCAATAGAGATTACAAGTAGGGTACACCACTTCAAGAAATAAAGTGGAGGGGTAAAGTGACAAAAGATAAAAGAAGTATGTAATTACAAGAGAACAAGGTGCCAACGACGTGGAGGCACCCGGACAGCCAAGAACTCTTCCAGAATGTCTTTGGATTAGTCTATTTGTTCTGTTGTATTTCTGGATTTTGTTTTCTATGTCCTTTGACATGAGTCCAATGGTATTGTTTAAATAATTAAATTTGGATTCTTGTCTATTATTTACCCATCCATGACAATTTTGACCCTTCTCATTTCTTTTTTGATTTGCGATTGATTTAGTCTATCTTGTGGAAATTTTAATTTTATGTTTCAGTGCCTCTTAATGCAATTCATTTGCTGCAATTATAGGTCATTTTCTGATTCCATTATTTTGAAATATTTTGATATCGCCATTATCATTTTATTTTCTTCTGTGAGTCTGCATAGATACTTTGAATTACTTTTATTATTTCTATAGGTATCTTTTCTTCTTCTACAATTTCCACATAACTCTCATTCACAAATTTAGTTTCAAAATTAAATAACTAACATAACGTAATATTATTTTTACAATAATGACAATATTTTTATAATTTCCCAACAGTAACTTATTGGAGAAATTAACTTTGAATTCAGAGTAATTGACATTATTTTTATCAGTGAAGTTTACGAGAAGGAATAACTGAATTGTGGGGCAAATAACAATCTATATGTATTGCAAATCATAAAATAGTCTGTGTAGTCCTTGCAACTTTGTACTTCAAATACTAATGAATGGATCTGCTAAATGTGTTCTTATGAAACAGAAATAGGTATTTGTCAGTTGAAAACCTGATCTGTTTTTAGTCATTTATAATGCAATTTGTGTCTATGTAGAGGTTTTACCCTTTAAAGTTACTTCTTTTACAATTACAGAGATGTACAATATGTTTCTTCTGGAGTTTTTGTAATACCTTAAACATTCTTTTGTTATTATTTTCATTTTAATATTTTTTATATTTTATTACTTACTGATAATATGCAATGATTTTTTATGGATTATAGCCATTTTATGGATTAAGCCATAAAATAAGCTTATGAATTAATGCTGTTTCATTTGATTTGTATCTTACAGAATCTCGGAATGTACAAATTTCGATTAAACATTGAATATATTTATGTAATAACACACTATGTAATCAGTTGACTAGTACAATTCATTGGAGAAACAAAACGTGTAGCTTTTCCTCTTGTCCTATAAAATTCATAAAACACGTATATAAAACATTATTTGGCCCAATCGCTCAATTCTTTCCTTTGAAAATGAGTTTTAATCGAGAAATCTTGCAGTGATTTTGCCCCGCTGGATGGCATATTCGGTGCCCGCTCACAAGTCGACTCGCAGGGTTTCCCCGTTCAGGTATCTCCACCACCGGAGCATCGCCCCAGCTGAGACAAGCTCTAAGCTCCCGACGGTCTACCGACATGAGTGGTAGTGTACTGCATGTAAGTGTGTGTGTAACGAAGGGGTGAACCGTGAGGCTAGGAAAAGGATGAGGAAGGAAAGATCGCGCGCGGTCCATGCCAGTATTCTGGGCATTCGAGCATTCGCCTGGTGTGACCGTTTGTTAGGGTACTGCTCCGGCACTCGCTTGATGTTGATCGGAGAATTACCTATCAGAGCAGCTGGTCGCTAGAATTATCTTGCAGTCAGCGACTGAATTCGACCCAGCTATCTAGTTAGTGCCGAAAATCCTACCAGCACAGAGAGGGCTAAGTGGCGAATCTAGACCGAACGAGCCATAAATCTATTGATTTAAATGGTGTATGGATGTGGAATGGGATTGTTAGGGTTGTGAAACTGATTCATATTAAATATACTTCACTTAACTGATTAATGTTTATTGTTAATAATGAATTTATGTTAATTTTAAATATAAAGAACACTTTAAAAGTAGTGTTCCTTGTATTATAGTAACTAGATAATCATTAGTAAAATTAAAAATAAAAGGAATATCTAAAGCACATTCCAAAATATCACAATTTGAGGTTGGTCCATTTAGTTTTTTAAAATAATTGAGAATCAGAATACTCTGATGCGCATTTTCGAGAAATCGGAGGAATCATTTTCAGGCTTGTATAGAGATTATACACACTTTAATAAACTTAACACTGCCGCAAAAATGGTAGTGTTCTCTTTCGTAACCTTTGATAAGTCTGTGAAAGCAGTGGGTCTGAAGTTACCAGGAGAGTGTATGGAAAATATCTTATAAGTTCTCTCTTCGGGATCATTTTCTAGCATGACCCCATCTGTATCTTCTCACATCTTTGTCTTGTTTCTTGAGCTTCCTCAGATAATTGTGCAATAGACAATATGGCGTGTTCAATATCTTTTAACCGTGAATCAAAACGTTGTGAATGGAAGAAGGCATATAATACAATGCATGGATAATGTGATGTAAAGAGACTTGCAGTACTTAAAGCGTAATCTTCGAATGCATTCGAGTTTATTGTAAAACCGGAAGATATTGTGGTCAGGATTGTTGTAAAATTCGAATATATCTTCGTCGAGGCCCATAACAGATGCAATAATATATGACACTTTCACCTCTTTGTTTCCGATCTAATATTAATATATTGCCTCTTCATGGTGTTATTCTCTACCATAAATGCAAAGCTCCTTGGGCAGTAAGTGGTACTGGAAAAGGACTTGGTTTTTTAAGAGCTTTAAAAATTGTGTAGCTCAGGTAGGAGTTGTTGTGATCATCTCTTTGGCTGGACTTACGCAATGGATGTCTTCCTGCGAACACAATTTCTTCCTTCGAGTGCGATGCAAGTAATGTTTGAATGCGCTTCCTCCTGTCCGTCTCAGTACATTCATTAAAGCTTTTGCGCTCTCCGAGATGCCTTAACTGGTAGGTGAGTAGTTTCCATTCTACTAGGAGATATTGTTTGTGCGTGTCATTTCCGGAAATTGAACAGCAACATCTGACCACCTAGAATACCTTTTAATGAAGTTGGGCTCCTCGTAGTTTCTCCGTTCTTTCTTCGCATTTCTCGTAATAAGCTTGTCCTTCACAAAACACAGTAGTTCATATTTGACGTCTCTGCGCGCAACGGGAAACAGATGACGGTGGATGACTACAGAACGCACGCCGTAATCTAAAATGAAAGATAATTTTTTTTTATTTGGACGTAGTTGGACGCGGAACTGAATGCAACATAAAGTGCAACATTCCCTGCAAATACCCGACATATTTCTTATCCGATTAATCCATATAGTTGAAATCTAATTTTTGACAATCGGAAAAGGGTAAAATTTAGCTCCCTCGCCACTCCTACTTCACAGTTTATTTTACGTTAAGAGGAGCGATGGATAAAAAATTTGTTAATGCCGAGGAACAGTACTTACTTGACTGAGCAACTTCCATATGAAGAGCTTCGCATTCACCTTTCATTCGGAACAAAGCATGCACTTTTGTATCTTCGGGTATCTGTCAAAAGCGACAAAACTCGCGTAGCGCTTCCTTGAAGTTAAGGTAAGAAATTGTCTCTCCCAAGATGGCAAACGCGAGCAGCAAAAATAAACCAACTAATAAATTTTATTCTACTAACATTGAGGATCAAATTCACTAAACAAAAAGTCGATTATAAAATGTTGGGGAGGGAGGGTCTGGCTCCGCTGAGATTCGCCTTTTAGACCTCTGCGCAGCGTCGGGAGTCGATCCTAGGTCCTCTCGGTCACCCCCCCATTGGTATACAACTGTTAAAGAAGGTGGCAGCAGCAGTAAAAGTGAAACAGCAAAATTCGTGAACACTTTATTGTGGTACAATAAATGCCAGCAACTACATTTTAATAATAAAAGCGGTAACAAAAAATTAACATACGAAACACGACAATATTCCAACACGATCAAAACATGCTACGACAGTACGACACTTCACAGGACCGAAGATGTAAAAAAAAAAAACAACCGCAAATATCATATATTATTTACACCGACAACACAGCGAAAGGTCTTTCTTCAGTCACTACGTCTCTCACGCCATCATCCCCCATCCCCGACGGTCCACGGGCACCACAGAGTTCTCCTTCCGCCGGCGCCAGAGCGCAGCGCGTCTGGCCAGGTAGTTAGTGGCGGCCGCCCCTAGAGCGCTCTGGCGGGCCGGTGGAGAGGTCGGGGGCGGGGCGTGGCGTCAGGCTCTCGGCGAGCGGGTTCGCGCAGCCGCCCGTCCGCCACAGCAGCCGCCGCCGCCCCACCGCCCCGCCCCCGCCGCAGCCGCCGCTGCCCCGTCTTGGCCGCCGCTGCCGCTGCCGCCAGCGCCGGACCCGCGCCGACAGCACAGCAGTTCGGTGTAGGCCTAGGCAGAAGAACCAATGACTTTTTGGTAGCACGTACATTTACAATGGAACCTCGATAACCCGAATATTTCTAATAAAATATTGGTAAATCGAACCCCAATAATTCTAATATTTATAATTCAAATCAGTATAAATCAACCCCGATAACTCGAATATTTATAATTCAATATTTATAAATCAAATCTCAATAACTGGAGTATTTATAATTTAAATATTCATGAATAACACCAATAACTCGAATATTTATAATCCAATATTTATAAAAAATCGGGTAACTCGAATATTTACATTCCAAATATTTATAAATCGAACCTCGATAACTCGGATGTTCATAATTCATTTTTTAATCGATCCTAAATAACTCGAATATTTATAATTCAGAACACTATAAATAGCACGCCGATAACTGGTATTTATCAATCGGGCCTCCATAAATGGAAGCCTGATAACTTGAATACTTACATTTCGGATTCCGATATCTCGAAACTCATTCGAATGCCGATATTTTGATTACAAAAAGCTTCTACGTCTATAATTCGAATTCCTGTGGGCTTCAATCACTCCATAGTCTGTTAATTTATATCTGGAACCATAATAATTCAAACTCTGAGACCCAGAATTATTGGAAAAAGAAATCGGTTAACTCGAACCCGCGTAATTCCATACTTCATATCTCGAAACGATCTTTCATTTTCCCCGAAGTAACCCACAGTTACAGCTGAACTCCTTCCGAGGATCGATATAAAACCAAGCCCATAGAAGATGAACTTCATCGTGGTCGGCACGAGGAGGATGCAATGCATGCGAACTAACTTGGTTTCCGAGTATCGGCCAGCCAGTGAACATTGAATCTGAGCGACTAAAATTCCTAAGTACGCAATTGTTCCGAAAAGCTTGTCAAACTGAGGAAAACATTTTTTGTTATGCTCGTAAAATGATTTTTTTTATCTCGTCTGTAACGACAAAATAATGTACGTAAACTTAAATTTTCTCGACATGTAACCACAAAATTGCTTGACTTCGCCCCATGAAGTTGATTATCCTCACAATGTTCTAAACTTTTCGAGGGTCGTGGGAGGTAAAATATTGGAAAGAGCTGGACACACCCGAAGGAAGAGGCTTGTAAAACGCTTGTTACAGGCTTTTCCGGGACGAATAGGGATTATAATACTCTTAGGTTGGAATAAGTATACCGGTGTCTCACAATAAAGGTTACAAACTTCTAGGGCAATGTAAAGGAATCACTTTTTTGATACGGAAATTGCATATTACACATCTGTGCAATTTCCATTTTTAAATGCGACATTTGCCTCCAATTGGTACGCTACCCGTTATGCACAGATGTCGCGTCGGGTCGGGTCGCGTCGCGTCGCGTCGGGTCGTGTGGCGTAGTGTCGCGTCGCGTCGGGTCGCGTCGGGTCGCGTCGGGTCGCGTCGGGTCGGGTCGCGTCGGGTCGCGTCGGACGTTATTCGGATCAGGGGGTGCGGAGCGGGGGCGGGCGGAAGCCCTCACCTGTCTGTACTCGGAGGACATGACGACGTAGATGATGGGGTTGACGCAGGAGGCGAGGTAGACGAGCACGTAGGCGGCGATGTTGAGCGCGTGCCAGTCCTTGTTGCGGAAGAAGGTCTTGGCCACGGTGATGGGCAGGTAGCACACCAGGAAGGCGCCGAAAGATCACCAGGATCATCTGCAGCAGGCGCCGGTCCTTGGCAGACATCCGAGCCGCCCTGCGCACACAAAGAAAAAACACTCACCACACCACCACCACCACCACCACCCATCCTCCCATGATTGATGCGTTCGTGTCTCCGGGCGTGACGACTGCTAAGGTCACCCATCCAGGAACACGCAGGGACTCGAGTCGCTTAACGCCAGGCCATGGTTAAGCAATTCTCTTACCAGCCGGTCCCGATGGCCGAGATCGCTAAGGCAGTAGTGCCGTAGCCATCTCGGACTGAAGGATCGCGGGTTTGAGTCCCGTCTCGGGCATGGTTGTATTTGTGTTCGTCTTTCACCCTCCTTTCATCATCATATCGTGTTACTATACCGTTACACTTAGTAGTGATCGCTAATGACCTAGTAGTTGATGCGAACTTAAAAGACAAAAAAAAATTCTGTTACTGACTCCCCATTGCAACGCTTTCCTTCTATCTGCAGGCGGATCCAACTGCCACCATCGCCCTTCCTACTTTGTCTCCTCATCCCGTCTGGTGACAATGTTATTTTCTTTATTTGGAACATGGTGGCGGTTTGGAGCCTGCAATCTCGGAGACCGGGAAGAGTCCAGAAACAACTGTTTTAGTAAATTTCAACGCGCGCAGAAACTGAAAGAAACCTTTGCATTGTCTTGCCATGTCAGAAGCGTCTGCGGTTTTGCTAGACACCCAAGAACTCGGGAAAAATCCATAAGCTTCACCTGGCCCACCCTGCCACTTGCCAAGTTCGTTATGAAACCGTTGGCTCGGGTAGATGTAAACAAATGCATTGCTGCATACTCCTGGCAAACGTCCAATTTTTTGACCTTCAAATATTCTGAAACAAATTGCGCTTTTGTAATGAATTAAAATTCAGTTAATTCGAAATATTATAGGCTTTCGGGAAGTTTGAATTCAGTTTGGATAATTTTCTCACTATTTTCGAAATGTTTGCAAAATATAGAAACAGTGCGGTAAAAATTTCCTATAAGGTTTGGGGAGAGAGTAAAGCACTTTATGAAATCTCGTTCAGACAAAAACTTCGTTTGTCAAACGTCGTTTCCTCGTCATCAGTCAAAGTTATTTAACTTGCATAAAAACGTTTTCAAATTTAAAGTAGGCACTGAGTTATTATTGCTATGAAACATAAGCAACTTTTACCCAGCTGTAACTGTTTTTGCGAATGACCACTCTGTACTCTGACTGAAGTATAAGTGTGGAAGTATCCTGTTGAAATGTTCTGTTGCGTCAATCATTTTTTGTAATGTGTTTAGCGGTGTTTTGTGCGAAGAGTTGAGCAACTCACGGAAACCAAATTATTAGTTAAAAAAATAGAAGGGGAGGAGAAGAATAATAAGGGCGAGGAGAATAATGACGAGGAGGAAAAGGAGAAGGAGAAAGAGGAGGAAAATAAGAAGGAGAAAGAGGAGGAGAAAAGAAGAAGAAGGACAAGAAGAAGAAGAAGGACAAGAAGAAGAAGAAGAAAGGACAAGGGACAAGAACGAAGAGAAGGACAGAGGACAAGAAGAAGAAGAAGGACAAGAAGAGAAGAAGGACAAGAAGAAGAAGAAGAGACAAAGAAGGACAAGAAGAAGAAGAAGGACAAGAAGAAGAAGAAGGAAAGAAGAAGAAGAAGGAAAGAAGAAGAAGAAGAAAGACAAGAAGAAGAAGAAGGACAAGAAGAAGGAGGAACAGAAAGAGAGGAGAGGACAAGAAGAAGAAGAAGAGGAGGACAAGAAGAAAGAAGGAGGAGGACAAGAAGAAGAAGAAGAAGGACAAGAAGAAGAAGGAAAGAAAGAAGAAGAAGGAAGAAGAGACAAGAAGAAGAAAGAAGAAAGAAGGACAAGAAGAAGAAGAAGAAAGAAGGACAAGAAGAAGAAGAAAGAAGGACAAGAAAGAAGAAGAAGAAGGACAAGAAGAGAGAAGACAAGAAGAAGAAAGAAGAAGAAGAGAGCAAGAAGAAGAGAAGAGGACAAGAAGAAGAAGGACAAGAAGAAGAAGGACAAGAAGAAAGAAGGACAAGAAGAAGAAGGACAAGAAGAAGAAGGAAAGAAGAAGGACAAGAAGAAGGACAAGAAGAAGGACAAGAAGGGAAAGAAGAAGAAGAAAGGACAAGAAGGACAAGAAGAAGAAGAAGGACAAGAAGGACAAAGAAAGAAGAAGGACAAGAAGGACAAGAAGAAGAAGAGAACAAGAAGGAAAGAAAGAAGAAGAAGAAGAAGAAGGAGGAGGAGGAGGACAAGAAGAAGAAGGAGGAGGAGGAGGACAAGAAGAAGAAGGAGGAGGAGGAGACAAGAAGAAGAAGAGGAAGGAAGGACAAGAAGAAGAAGGACAAGAAGAAGAAGAAGAAGAGAAGAAGGACAAGAAGAAGAAGAAGAAGAAATATTACATCGGACGTCATATCTAAGAAATCACTAAATGATTAGAATGCTGGAAACAATATCCCCAAACTATTTTCCCCCTGTAATAATACAATTTCTTTAGCAAGTGCGTTTTGTAAATTTTCCCATTTCGCCGCAGAGCGTATGTCGTCACAGGAAAGTTGCGCGCATTTCCAGGAGAGGCGTCTATGCAGCCTGGAGGCCGAGAGCGTCGCTTGTGGTCTGGGAAAGCACAGCACATCTCGCTGCCGGGCGCGGCGCGGGACTGCGGCAATACCAATTGATAACACCGTCGGTTTACGAGATCGCCTCAAACGGACGCTCTTCCTACTTCCTTTCTCGCGCCCTAGAAGACATATTTTGTGTCATGGCGTTTCCTACGCCTTTTGCGTGTTTTGCGTATGTTGAGGCGTCCAATGCATGAGCTGTGAGCCTGCCCCTTCTTCCCGTACCTTCATTCGGCGAACTGAAGAGTTGACCCTTTGAGATGGCCCTGGACGCTGTCAGGCTGTTTTTGCCCTTTGTTTTTATTACTTTTCATCTTTTCAACTGTTTTTCAGTAAAATATTAATTATTAATAAACACGGCCACTGCCAAATTCAATTTTGTTGCGCAGAATTCATATTTCGAGGTTACTAAACCAGCTTTAAAACAGCAATGTTTAAAATTGATGGTTTTTAGACGATGTATTATTAACATCGATGTTTTTATTGTTTGAACATAGTTCTCTGTGGTAATATCGATATTTTGTTTTCGTTGCCACAATCATTACTTTCAGCCCGGCATCCAACATATTTAAGACCCCCCCCCAAAAAAAAAATTAAGTTTGTAGATGGCGCATAACAAAACAAATTACTGCAAACACACATACTCGAGTACGGTTTGCAAACGAATCGGCCCTAGGCTTTAAAATCCAGTTATTTTTTGGCAGGACACAAGTTTTGTGGAGGCAAGCGAGTTCGGGGCGGAAAACTGGCAGTGTTGGGGAACAAGTGGGGACAGGTTGGGAAACTGGGGGTTACAAGTGGTGAGCAGAAGGGAAAAAAATGCAGAAATTATATTTTTACTCTAAGATTCCAGGGCACAATACCATTACTCGACGCTGTAATGCACAGTTCAGGGAGTAATCATGAAGTTATTTTCAACTTTCAAAACATTATTTGCAAAGTGGGGAGTTTTTTGTTCAGGGGGCGGCTAGTTATTTTTAAAACATCGTAGACATGGAGATGTATTCACGAATAAGGTACACGGTGAAGGACAAATGGAAAGAATAAAAGAGAACTAAATGCAAGAATATTAAAATCATACGATGGAATTAAAGAGTAATAATAAATCAGTATTAAGAATAAAGCAACGTATGCATTCAATGAGTTAAAGAAAAGAAGAATGACAATAAAATTTGAAGTCTCATGACACTCTACTTTCGAAGATGATAGTATGTATGTACGTAATATGACGATGCACCAAGAGGAAAAGAATTGAATCGCGCTGGTTCTGGCGAGGGCCAGGAAATGCGAAGGTTGCCATGAGAAGGAAAATGAAATAAGCAAGACTTTAATCTGTTTCCTGCTGGAGCTGCACTTCTAGATGAAGTGATACCGAATTTTGAAAGGGCGATACAACACGCAAAATAAAAAAAAAAGTGAGAAAAAGAAATAGTGAATAATCAGTATTTTTTTTATCTAATTTTTAAGGTGGTTTAAAAAACATCTAAGGGTTGCTAATTGATTTACACCAGAGATGCAATTTATAAATTAGAATACTCAGAATATTAAGTACTATTAATTTTATAATAATTCAAGATCATACAGCAATTATGAGATAATTTTAAATTGACTTGGAACTTCAATTGAATTGTTTATCTCATAAATTTCGTTTTTTGATACGAAGAGAGTTTTCTTAGATTTTCCAGGCGTAAACATTCAAGGATATATACGAGACGTTGATAATATTCCTTCACAATTTGACAGGTGGCTGGGTCGGTTTTTTTGTTAGATATGCTGAGGGAAGAATTGTCATTCTTTAATCTTGCAATAACTTTTTTTAAGTGTTCAAATAATTCATATAAATAGAATCCTGTATATGCTTGTCAATATTCATATTTTATCAGATAAATCAACAGGGGCCGTGGGGTGGCCGTGGGGCTGCGGGGGGGCAGGGGTGTGTGTATGTGTGAGGGGGGCGAATGTTGCGAGAGGGAGGAGCAGCGTGCGGGGGGGGGGGGGAGGAGGGAGCGGCGCTTCCCGAGGTGCGCCCGGCGGCCACCGGCAGCGCTGATAGCAGCCCGCGGCCCACTGCCCCGGCCACTCGGCCGCTTGCATGCGGCATCGCCTTCCGTCAACAGAAATGCAATCGAGGCGTCAGGCTGTTGGCGCTGGACTTGTTGATATGCAAAATTAGTTAGCCACAGCTTCGAGAGCTGCAATGTAGGATATCTCGATTCTTGGAAAATTTCAATCGTGGTTAATAGAATTCGGGTAAATGGATTTCGTGAGTCCCTTTACAATTCGAATATAACTCCTTTGACCTGAAAACCGATAAGCTGCAAGATAATAGAAGTTAGAAAAAATATCAAATCTATGCCAAAATTTTAACAACACATATCTTGAAATTTTTATTGTTTTGAGATAGTATCAAGATATTAACAAACAATATTAAAATGATCGTTTGGTGATAATTGTTTAGCTTGTAAGGGAAGATATCTATCTTTTTTTATCCCCTAAAAAGTTACAATGTTTGAGATGTGGTAAAAATGCGGCCAGCTATGTGTTTCTTCAGATGATATCAAAAAACCAATTTTTTTGCCTACGTCTTAGGGGCTAATACGATTCCGATGAGGTTTTCTCACAAAAGTAGCATTTCTGGTCGAACTTAAGTTGGGCTACTTTTTTCATGTATCCAAATGTTTTATTATAAATCGACCTGAACACAACCTATAGCACACATTTAATGATTGTTTTATCAAACAAATCCTCGGTTTTTATTGCAATTTTTATACGTAATGAATGTGATTATAGATCTACAATCTAAGATTAAATATATGAATTTGTATTTTATGGGTTAATATACTTTCATGGTGAGTGATAAATTTTATGGTGGGCCTACAGACCTCCAGAAAAAAATCCTACTGAGTGAGACACGTGTGCTCGAATCGCATTATATCGCATTATGGCGGCTTTCGAGACGCGTCGATTTTTCACCCCATTTATTTTTGGATTTGAAGTTTCGTATTTGCAATTATTATTTGTTGTAATAATAATTCAAGGAGGAGAAAGAATTTTAATGTGAAATACGAGTTCTTTTTTCAACAGTGTGGAGTAATTGCATGCGCCAAAGACCCGCTATCATGCGTATCACATCCGTATCAATATTCCGTATAATTTTTCACAAGGGAATTCATTGCTCATATTACCCTGAGATTTTCCAAATTAACCCGGAACCCGGAGACTCCGGGTCAAACTCGGAAAGGTAACTAGCCTAATCGCATCTAGCGAAGAAACAAAAAAGATAACTTAAGACCAAAAGGTTTGTTCATTCCATTGTGTTCATTTGAATTCTATAATGTGACTGCCATGCTTGAAGTGATTTTGCACTCGCTGTTGTATATTAGTTTAATGTAATAATTATTTTTTTGTTTTTTCTCAAAGGGAGAGTCTTTATATGTGATTTTTTATATCGAGTTCTAGTGTGTAATACATGAACAATACAAATTTAAAAGTCATTAACATGTTTTTCCAATCTTTAAAATCCCCAATTTCCTCTAAAGTTCGTATATTCATTGTAACCCGAAGATGGGGAGAAATCTATGTCCCTCGAAACGAAGTAGAACAACCTTTGAATACTAACGAAGAATACAACTTTTATGTTTAAAATTTCATGATTCTGTGTTATTTCAAGTAGTTTTTTTAACTACTGTCAGTCAAAAAATCTGAGGCTAAAATCATCGAATATAAAAAAAAGGAAACTCCATGAAAATCCTAGCCCTGAATGTTCCGCAAACCGTTGCGTGAAGGTCCGTGGTGTTGCTCGCCATGTGCACAAGGGCGTGTCGCGACGCGTCGCTTTTTGACGCTGTCGTTCTGTAGGCGCGGCGCTGTCATTCTGTCAGCTGCATTTCTTAATCGCGGCCCAGACTCGCATCGCTTTGTTTTGCTTCTGGAATGCCAATGGCACAGTAGCTCTATCGTGTGTGGATGGCGAGGGCGTCAACCATTTGTTTTGTAGACCGCATCGCATGCCTTGTGCTTCTAGTTGATATGTTTGTGAACAAAACAAGGTATGCAGCGTTGCCATGCAGAAAGGCATTTTGTTAACCACAAAGCAGACAGTAAACACTTTTTTACCTTCATTTGTTCACCCATATAATATTTATTATATTTTTTCCTATATTTTTTTTTTTTTCATATTTTTGTCTCATTGTTGAAGTAAATTCAATAGCAGTGATATGTGTAAACGAGGACGAAAAGCCAAGAAGTCTTCAAGAAACAAAGCTTATTACTATATATCATCACTATTTAAAATCAGTTGTCTCATCATTACCCGCAATATTATCCGAAAAAATACTCAAGTCATTCGGAGCGCTTATAAGCGAGAACTGTGAAAACTAGCCTCACAAAGTTTCATTTTTAGACAAAGTTTATGCCCTATTCTTTTACAACCGTGATTCAATGATATTTAACAAGGAAAGAGTTACACCAGAACGACCGGAGCAGCCATTTAAACTGTTTCGAAGTTTTACTTTTCTTTTGTGCCTATATTTATTTATTTTTATGACATTTTGCGACTTATAATTTCGAGGATGTTCTATAAGATCTCGAAGTACAATTCTTTGAGAGATTTTAATTTTCGAGCCCATAACTAATTCTTCATGGTTTTACCTTCCACAGAGGGTAGCAGTCAAAATGACCGTTTTAAATGCGATTGAGGCGACGACAAGTGGCCAATCTTAACACAGACGCTACACTGTCCAACTACTTTAAAACCTCATAGATTTATCGGGAATCAACCCTCCTCCCTTACATGTTCTGCACGACCACGTGTGTCGGGAGCTTAGAGCTTGTCCCGGGTAGGGCGGTGCCCAGATGCTGGCAGATACCTGGTTGGGGAAAACCCCTCATACTTTATCTTGCCATTCTGCCACCACCGCCGCCACCACGTCCAGCGATAAACATGCACTACGCCTACGGGACTAATGACCTTAGCAGTTGACGTGCCAGAACACTCCAATCGATTAACCCTGCAGGCCGACGTGTATAGCGCCATCCAACCACCATCCCGCGAACTAAGCCCTTAGTAGCACCGCGTAAAACCTACGGGACTAATGACCTTGGTAGAAGGCGCGCTCGGAATCGCCGCGTGCCTACTCACCGGGCGCGGTGTTGGCCTTGGCGTTGGGTGGGGCGGCGGCGGCGGCGGTGCGGGGGCGTGCCGTTGGCGTGCTGCTGCTTCTTCTTCTTGGCGGCGTCGCCAGGGCGCTGGCGGCGGCGGGGCGCGCGGGTGGCGCGCGCGGCGCGCGGCGCGAGATGCAGAAGATACGCAGCGTAGCAGAGCGGCGATGGCGGCGGCCGGCAGCAGGAACGCACACCACGAACAGCACTGCGCACGCGCACGCGCCACTCGCATTTGCACCAGCCCGCTGTGGGGTCTCATGTCACGGAATAAATGGGTTTTTAACCCAAGGCACCATGCAAATGCACGCCAGCGAGGAGCACAGCTGAGAACGCTTCGTCCGCCTCGAGGGTTGATGGGCGGAGGGCAGCTGGCGCGGGAGCAAGACTCACTTCCTTGGGGCGAGCGTCCTGGTCGTCCTTCGATGATGGAGCAGGAGCCGACGCGGCGTCCAGGTCGAAGCGGCCCCACCGCCCGGCCCACGTGGGCGCCAGCAGCGCCAGCGGCAGCACCCACACGCCCACACATGCAGCCAGCGCCCACTGGCGACGAGAACACCTGCGCACACCATGCCTCTAGAAATGCGCATTCCACTCTTCAAAAGCTTTACATTTCAAGATCGATTTATTTCCTTTTGGCGAGCGCGCTCATCTGCGGTGCGGCATTTTCCCGTAAGTGTAGTGCATGTTTTGCTGCAGGACAGCGCGCGTGATCTTTCGCCTCGCTGGCTGGTGGCGAGATTCCGGTCCGACTCTACCCATTGGCTTGCGCGGGGTTTTTCCCAGCAGAAGTCTCATAAATTCACGAGCAGGGATCGCCCGGCCGGACAAGCTCTAAGCTCTCGACCGGTCTCTTAACATGTCGTTTTTTGTGTAGTTCATGTTAATCTAAATGTGTATAATTAAGGTCTGAGGATAGGGCAAGGAAGAGGAATGTACGGTCGCGCCTGCGTGACGTTAGATGATGCCCAGGGACCCCTCAGCTAATTTTATTTTTAGACATCTCCTCCGTCTTTATGTTATATTTTATTTTTCTTTCGGAAAATATATTAGAATGTAGTATGAAGATTGCTAGCTTAACCGTCGTCAACGACGGGACTTATACTCTAGAGCCTGAGAACCAGCGATTCTGAAGTGTCAGTTACATTACTTGTACTGAGCCATGATATGTGGTTAAATAATCGTCGCAGCGTCACAAATTTCAAATATGAACTTTTTGGAAAACGTTAAACTAGTGATACAATATTAAGTAACCGTTACAAATAATACTAGAAGTACTTTACTTGGAGCCATTAGTTTTGAAATAGAACCTTACAATCGGAGCGAGAAAATATCCGAAAACAAAAAAGAAGACGAAGAAAAAAAAGATTTTTGATTGTGAGCGGGAGTTCATTTGAATGGCATCGGCGACCCCACCGCCTCTCCTCCGACTGTGGCGCGGCAGCGGAGCCTGCGAGCGCGAGTCGTGTGCACCGGAGCTGCCGCGCGGGCGGTGAATCACGGCTCGCGGGCTGCCTCGATCCCCCCTCCCGCCCCCCGCCCCAGGCGGAGCGGCGCATCTGGAGCAGGCCCCTTAGCGCGGGTAGAGCGCTCGGCAGCAGCCAAGGCAAGGCAAGGCAAGGGCGACCACGTCAGGGACACGCAGGCAGGTAGATTGGTAGGTAGGTAGATCGGTAGATATATAGGTAGGTAGGCAGGTAGATAGCTAGGTAGGCAGGTACTTAGGTAGGTAGGCAGGTAGATAGGTGGGTAGACAGATAGACACCTTTAGATAGGAAGGTAGATAGGTAAATAGATAGGTAGGTATGCAGATAGGCATGTAGATAGATAGGCAGACAGGTAGGTAGGATGGTAGGTAGATAAGTGTACAGGTATATAGGTAGGTAGGAAGGCAGGTACATGGATATGTAGACAGGTAGGTAGACCTTTAGATAGATATGTAGACAGGCAGGCACGATGATAGGTAGATAAGTATGTCTTTAGGCAGGTAAATAGGAAGGTGTATAAGTAGGCAGGTATGTAGATAGGTAGATATATAATTAGACTAATAATTCGATAAACAGTGATATTACCGGAAGTGAAAGTCCATAATCATATAGATAGACAATTAGATACATTTATTAAATTTTGCTTTGAACTAACGTTACAAGAACATCTCTTCATCACTTACATAGCAGGTTAGGTAGTGATCAGAGACGCTTCGTCCATAAAGGGCAGTAACTGCAAGGCAACCCAAAGTGAATAAAACAAACACATCTAAATTCGCTTACTCTTTTAAGTATTATCATCTCTACGCGTACCACTTTACTCACAGGATGTGTTATCGGGTGCTCTGTTATTGGGAACGGAAGTTCTATTTACCCGGAAGGCCTGCTGGTATGTGTCTTAATGGCTTCGTATCATGTGAAGATAAGGCACCATCTATATCGGAAATAACTCTTTTGATTCAGAACTGATAATGAAGCTGAAACTGTTATATTAGGGTAAAAGTGTTCCCCAGTGGCTGTCAACAGCAGTGGTCTTCAAGCGTTTCCGTCCATTTCCCTTACATAAAAAACAACGAGTTAGAATATACTACGTAGAGTGGCTGTCCCTACAGTTTTAGCGCTCTTGGTGGAGGCTAATCGAACTAGCGGCCGCCATGTTTTTTGAAGTCAATACATACGAGTGGCGGTGTAACCGTCCGTAACCACCGTTAAACGTAATGCGAGAATATATTGTTTCCCAGATGGTGCTGCTGTGAATGTCAAAACCGTAGCTTCAATTTGCTTCAAAGATGCACGCGATTCAGCCACTCTATGTAGTATATTGTAGCTCACTGGTAAAAAACTAGCGGTCCCCATTGATTAATTAACAAGGTAACACGACACTTAGGTAACAACAATATATCATAATTCATTTTACACCAATTGTAGGAATTATTTAACTTTATAGGGCTTGGGATTTATATTTTGGCTTCCACTTTGCAATGGTAATGATTAGCAGAAAGCACAATAACGTTCTTTAATTTAATGAGACCCAACACTGTTTCTTCGTCACTAAATTGCCAAACCTCACTTTAATTTTGGAAGAAGAAATTCGAAGGCAGTTCTGAAAGCAAAGTTCGGAAAGTCTTTCTGAGGCTTTGTTTCACCAAGACATTCTCCTACTACGAAGTTTATTCTCTCGAGGCAGTCGTTGAAAATTTAGGCGGTTAAGAGAGATGGTTGACAGTGGAATGGGCGAACGTTTGGTAGGTTAGGAATTTTGCCGTCTGAAACTGACTATTAGAATGTTGATGGCTGAGGGTTGAGGAGGTTGGCCGTTGAGTCGCTAAGGGCGTATGCTGAGATTTATTTATGCTGGAAAATTCAGTTGGTTGAGAATGGTGCAATTTTTTTTGTTGATGCTTTGATTAGGCAGATTTGAATATGAATTATATTTTTCTATAATTTATTTGGTATTTGCAGTTTGTGATGGATCTTCGAGATTAGGTGTTTTAATTCCTATGGTTCGTCCTCATGGGAATGATTATTTTCAATCTTTTATAGTGTTACTATGTTAAAATTTATTATTATATTTGTATTTATGATTCCTCTTTCTTTTTTAAATGGAATATTTTCATGAGTGGTTCAGTTTATATTTCTTCAAAGCTCTTTTATTTATAATATCTATTAATTTAAGTGGAAATGTTGAAGGTTAAAGATATATATTAGATATGATTTATAATTTTATGGTTTAATTTTGTTGCGTTTTTGGATTTGTTGTTTAATAATTATGGCAAGAATTTCTATTTATCAATATAATGACTATGGAAATTTATTCATTTTTATAACTATTTTTTTTTGTTTTATTAATATGTGCTTTTTCGAGAACTGAGTTTGTTGAGTGACTAAGCGTGGCGAAGCGTGTCTAGGGGAGCGAGCGTGTCTAGGGGGAGCGAGAGCGTGTCTAGTGGAGCGAGCGTGTCTAGGGGGGAGCGAGCGTGTTCCAGGGGGAGCGAGCGTGTCTAGGGGGAGCGAGAGTGTCTAGTGGGAGCGAGCGTGTCTAGGGGAGCGAGCGTGTCTAGGGGGAGCGAGCGCGTCTAGGGGAGCGAGCGCGTTCTAGGGAGGCGAGCGTGTCTAGGGGGGTGAGCGTGTCTAGGGGGAGCGAGCGCGTCTAGGTGGGGGCGGGCGCGGGCGACCGACCTGCGGTAGGTGCGCGGGTGGGCGATGAGCAGGTAGCGGTTGAGGCCGATGGCGACACCGAGAGCAGCGAGACGGCGACGAGTGCGTAGCGCAGCAGCGAGAACACGTGGCACAGCAGGCGGCCGTGCGGCCAGCGCCGCGCCGCGAACGTGTGCGCCGCCAGCGGCAGGTTCACGCACCCCAGCAGCAGGTCCGCCAGCGACAGGTTCACGATGAACGCCGCCGTCGCGTTGCGCACCTAAACAACAAACGGTCCGGTCATGACACTCGTTAAATCCCCCCGGCCACACTCGCCCTAACGAGATCTCACATCTCCCTACCAGGAAGTTCGGATATGACCGATATCTGGTGGAGAAGTGAGAGTCAAATCTCAGGCGCATAGGGGTCGCCCACATAGTGCGCCTGCTCGGATAATGGTACCCTGAACGCTGACGAAGCCTGGTCGAAATCCGGGTGCGGAACAACTGCTTAAGGGAGTCTCCCCGCAGTAAAACCCATACGATAAATAAATAAATTCACTTCAATTAATACTTTATTTTATTAGGCCCTCTCTTCCGTCTCACCATGTAAATATCGCTAAACACCTTTCACCATCTAACGGAGAATGAAGGTATCACTAGGGCGACGAAACAGGCGATTCAAATTTAGCTCAGAGGCTGTTTTTAGGCTTGAGGATTTTTTTACGTGTAGTAAATCTACAACATGGGACAACCGGCTTTACTTCTCCTGTAATGTCTGTAAGGGAAGGCGTATGAGAGATTTTTCGCATTCAAATTATTCTAAAAATTATATTAAAAATGCATTTAATTCAAAAATTAAAATTTATCGGAGACACCACAAACACTTATTTTGTGCCGATACGTAAGTGGTTGATATTTCCTTTGTTACAGATATCAATATATACTGCATAACTTAGTGCAGTCGAGAGGATCTCTTATGGCGTTAGGTGCTTTTAATGATCTCTGGCCTTTTGTCGCCGCTCGATCATTAGATTAAAACACCCTTGGTAAGTAAATACCTGTAACACAGTTTTACAACTTAAACAAATATTCTTATACGAATGTGTTAAACAATTCTTTACATTTTTTTGAAGATGTTTGATTATTAAGTTATTCATCAGTAAAGGAATAAAATGAACTCCATCACTTGTTTTTTCTTCAATAAACGATTTTCGATCTCAGTTTCCACTGTGTTGTAGATATTGTAGTAACGTAATTTTCACAGTAAATCATTTCAATACAAACAAAGAAAAATAATTTACATAAAAAAGTTTCGCAAGAATATCAGTTAAGGGAATTTTACAATAATTCATTCAAATAGTACTAATGAAACATTGAAACCCAAATATTGGCGCATGACGCTCAACACTTGGTTCTTAAGGAAAGGATGGAGGTTTACACATTCTGAAACAATACAATCACTACTCACTGTGAACGCAGAGTGAACCATCTTTCTGAACTTGTAATTGAAATGTTTTATGTTTACCAAGAACATGACACGAATGTTGTAGTGAACACTTGAAGGATATCCTACTATCTACATAAACTGAAAGACGTAATGTATCAGGTACAATGTATAATCAAAATTTTTAAAGGAACACATTTGACAGACAGCGTCTGGACATTGCATTTTACGTATATACTTGCTAATATTGGCATTTATAAACACTCAACCTTTGAATTTAAAAAATCCACCAACTTGCTTCATCAACTATAACTTCGTGTTGAAAGAATATCGTTCATTTACGTTTGGGCATTGACCCGACTCATAATTGTCTTGCGATGGACCCACGTGCTCCAGCAACTCCATGTGGGGTTGGGTGTGGTGGCTTGGAATGAGACGTTACCTGTATGATTATTAGTAAGTCCTGACGAAGAAATTATATATTTCGAAACGTTGGCGTAACTAATTGTTTCTCTAATCACTTGGGCAATCCCATGAACCGTTTTTAATTCTTTATTCTTCATATGGTCGTGATTATACAATAGTGAAATATTGATACATATTTTATAATCGCATACTTACATTCTTCCTCCCGCTAATGAGTGCTTTCGATGCGATAACTGCTTTCGATATATCGATTGCAACTCTCAAAACAAACCGAGCCACAACATCAAAACTATATTGTAATTCGTCATGAAAACGGTGGAATGAACAATTGACCGAAGATAATCGTTCATTCTTTTAATTTTAATGATATATTATTAAAATTTTTAAAAAATGATCGCGGATTCATTTCCCAGTCGGGACACATATATAGTTGTAGCTTTCATTTAAAATCGTCCAAGTTTCTGTACCCGTGTGATGAATAAAAGTCCAGACAGGAGGATGCCAGCCAGTACGTCACACAGTTGTCGTTCTTTTTGAAGATTAAATTAATAGGCCTTAGAGCTCCTGCCTTAGAGTAAATGGTTGATCGATCCTCGTTCACATCGTATCACTGTCATCGCCAACCATCAATAAAAGCCATTCGCCACTAGTACACCCAAAATAGAAATGCATGACCATTCGAAGAGATTGAGTCCAAAACGTCAGGAAATTATTTTATTCTTGAGAAGTGTTCTCTATCTTTGACTAAATTATTAAACAAAATTTGAAAAAAAAATCATTTCCGCCTACACTAAGTTATTTTTAGTATTTCTTTATAATTAAATGAATCAGTGATAACTACAAAATAAAAAAAACAGTTAGTGCATTTCAGAAACAATCTCTTTAATTGTACCCAAATAAAGAGCTTTCATTTTTTAAATAAAAGATAATATTAATTAAAATTTAGTTAAAAGAAATTGAGATAGATTTTTTATAAAGTCAAATATGAAGTTTTTGAGCAATACTTTATAATTAATTCCAGTTCCATTTGTCTAAAGTTTAGCTTATTGACATTAAACAAAATCTCTAGAAAATGCTCAGGTCCGTATCCTACTTCTGGTCTTGCTAGTCCAACGAGTCGGGTCAATTTGGCAGCCAGTCGTTGAGGAAATGGGCTCCCAGTCGGATGATTTACAGGCGAACGGCTTGTGTTCCTTGTTCCTTGAAACAAGAGACTCGTTGTCTTTTCGTTTCGGTTCGTTGTCTTCCGAGACTGAACACTTCTTGTGGCAGTTGTGTTTGAGCATCCACTTTCTCCGTGCAATTGCCATTTCGGTTTGTTTGCGCGAAGGATATTCTCGCCCACTGCGGATGGAAATGTCTCCCGAAGAGTAGGCCAGCGGGGGACAAAATTTGCGCGACAGGGCGTCACTGCTCGACCCCACTTCCAATTGATTGATTATTAGTGATTTCGGGAGAGTCAACAGGGAGTTCATTAGTTCCGTAAGTGTAGTGAATGCTTTTTCCCTCGGAAGGTGGTCCCCCCGCTGTATAGTGAGATCCGGTACCAACCTGTCGGCTAGGGGGATTTCCCCCACGAGGTATCTCCCACCAGCGGGGTACCTCTCCAGCCGGGACAAGCTCTAAGCTCCCGACCGGTCTGCCGGCCTGGGTTGTAGTGTAAGTGTGTGTTGTGTGTGTGTGTGTGTGTGTAGTGTAAGGAGTAAGTGTGTGTAAGGAGGAATGAGTGTGTTGAGTAAGAAGTAAGTGTGGATAAGTAACGAGGAATTAGTGTGGGTGTAAGTAGGACAAGGAAGGGGAAGGAAATATCGCGTTGCTCTCTGGAGAATTCTAGAATCCGGCTGCTCTCATCGATAGTTTTCCGAGGTTTCTCCGATCAACACCAAGCGATGACGGAGCAATATCTTCACAAACGGGCCCCCGACCGCGAGCGATTTTTCCCACCATTCTCTTGTCCTATCCTCGCCCCTAACTTACACAACATACACTACACTACCACACAAGACGAGAAACCCTCTGGTGGAGATACCTGGTTGGTGAAAACCCCGCAAGCCGACGGTAGGTCGGCGCCGGATCTGCCAGCCATCAATGGACGCCATCACCACCTCCACTCGAACATGCACTAAACGTCCGGGAATTATGGCCTTAGTTGACAAACCGCAATCAATATCATACCCAGTTTCTCATCGATTATATTTTGAGTTCGTCGTTACCCGCCTCCCGTGTTGATCACGACTTCCGGATTGGCATTCCTGCGCGAGAGCTAAGGTCGCGAGAGCCAGAAAAAACGGCCGGCGGACTATTTCGAGTGTTTTTATTTGCTGCTAAAATCGCCCCGTTTTTTGTGTCGTGCCGCTGACCTGGTCGCTTGAACCTCAAAATGACCTCGCGACACAACGCAACCCACGGGGCAGAGACTTCCTTCCCGCAGAGCCGGTCTCGCACCGCCCCTGAGACAGCTCGGAGACACACTGCGGTCGCTGCTACACCGATGCCCATCGCGAGATACTACAGTGTTATCTGACAGCGAGTTTCCAACAACCTATACGTGTCCGGGTCCGTGTGTGTGTGTCATTTGTTATTTACTTATTGTAATAGTGTCTGAAAATACCGTTCTACCTTACAAAGTTTCTTTCAACAAATAATTAATATAAAGTGTTACGAATTACTTAATGTAAGAGTTACTAGGAAACCCTATCCAAATGAACAATTATCTAAAATGTTAAACAAGCTAAAGAAAATCCAATATGATGCGTCTAAGATAGCAGAGCTACCAACGGTTGCAACAAAATTTATTCCATCAAAATATTTTTTATAGAACAAATATATAATGGAGCAAAATTTTTGCTTAAAAAGAGCGCTTGACACGAAATTTTTAAAATTGCTCTTTAAAAAACTTTCCAAAATTTTACACATAGAACACATCCATAATTTTTTTCAGAAAAGATTGCAGAATTTTTTATGTAAAAATTGAAAAATCAATTTTTTTTCAAAAATAATTCACGTGCATGTGTCCTTAAAATTAATACAACTACGAAGATCACATCTTCAGCAAAAGTTAAATATAACTTCCGCACTTCATTCTTCTTTAAGAATAGTATTCGACTTTATAAAGAAGAAGAAATCGACAAGAGCCTGCTGTGCAGATACGAATCATTGGCTCATCAAATGGCGTTACTTTTGTTCAACTGATTGAGGGGAAAACAGCGGTATGCTTTTTCCCATCTGAAATGCCTCACTCATTAATGAACTAAAGTACAAATTATATAAAAATATAAATTGATGTACTGTATAAAGTACAGAGTGTATATGTGTGGGTGCTAAGTAAAAACCTTTCGGAAGTTATGTCAACAGATTAAGTCCAATTCATTCAGATGTATAAAATCATCAGTGGTGATGAATAAATTGTGCATTAGATCTCTCTGTTATCTCTCTTCACGAAGTGAGGCTTCAGACGTGTTTGTACGAAATTATTGTGCAAAGAATGTAAGCAATGAACCGTATATTAGCGTCTGTTACAATTTGATGAACGTAATTTTGGTAACATAAAATAATGCGATAAAGTATCTGCTATGTTGTATTTTTTTCTCTTTCAACCAGGGACGTTGACATCTTCCCCACCCTCACACCGTTATGTGCATTGCTCTGTATATTTCCACCACGTGCCATCTTTCGACAAACTCTGCCGTTGTTGTGACAGTTGAAATGCGCTGCCAGTCAGCAACGGATCTAATAGTATCCCTTGGCAACAAGGTCAACAAATTCCCCATCCGCCCGGGGCGAACGCGCACCAGATAATGGGATCGATGAAGGACACGGCCGTCGTAATGTCTGTTTAGACCAGCAATTTTCTGACATTCTATTCCTTCACTTATAGCAATATGGTTAATAGACAAAATCAGTAGCTGATTAGCCTTTGCCTAGTTTTATTAAAACGGAGCGAATAGTTTTCTTATCAATTCTTGACAAAAACGCTCGTTGCAACATGTATTTATAATTTCAACTCAGTATGTATATGTGTTAGAACGGACAGTAAAGTTCTCACGAAACCAAGCACATATTACACACCTCCCCGTAGTACAACCTGCAGAGATAGCTCATGGCATCAACTGATGCCATTGCAGTGCCTCTGACTGGGATGACCTAGGTTCGAGTCACGACGGTGGCAGGTGTTCGACACTAGCTACATACCTCTGTCAAGTTTTGTCCTCAGTCGAGTCTGCGCGTAATTCTAGAGAGCCGGCTGCTCTGATCGGTAGCTTTCCGTGGTTTATCGATCAACACCAAACGAATGCCGGAGTAGTACCCAAACAAATGGGCTACAGACCCCGCCGATCTTCCTTCTCTTCCTATTCTATCTTCACCATGCACTTACATTAACATATACTACTCAACCACACAACCCGAAGACCCGTCGGGAGCTTAGAGCTTGTCCGCTGGGGCACTGCCCCGCTGGTTGGAGATACCTAGTTGGGGAAATTCCGTTAGCCGACGGTAGGTCGGCGCCTGCATTCGCCATCCAGCGGGGGAAGATCACCGACACCTCCCGACGAAAAAAACATGCACTGCACTTACGGAACTAATGATCTTAGTTGACGCACCCGGAATGAGTAATCAACGAATCAAAACTCATAGTACGCCGCATAGTTTTTAACTGTTTCTGACGTTATCCACTATTGCCATCTACGAGCACGGAAGTGATAATTTGAGGTATTAACATCTGGGGCTCCAGCGCACGTGACTGGCGCAAGAATACCCTTTGCAGAGCGGTGGTGTCTTCGACGATCCTCAAATGTTTTAGAACCGGCCGTAAAAATCGCCCACTTTCCTGAACGAACAATAATGTCAGTATGAAGGACATATCAAACGCTATTGGCCTCCTCGATTGACCTTTGACATCTGCGCATTTTACGGCAATGTGCCCTGTGTTCCTTTCAGTACACTTCGGCTCGTTGTGGACCAATTGAAACAAGCGATTCCACAAAGTGATATTGAAGGTACGCGCGAAGAGCAATTTCTCTCTACATTTGACACAATAAGGAAAAACATATGACGGTTCATTACAACTTGTAAGAAACTATCAACACAAAACCCCGAGTGTTACTACTGAACAGAAATTTACTCCCCTACCTACTACCTCCCCTGCTCCTGCTTAGAACAGATTTAAAAAGAAAAAATAGATTATTTGTGATTAAGGCATGCAAATGAGATTACTACCCCACTTTGTAATCGCGCTTAGCTCGTAAGAGGTGTGTCCTCGGCCCTTAAACCTGGCTTAAGTGGCCCGGAGGATCACATGCTTTGGTGGACATTCGGGGAAACGAGAGGGAGGTGGAAGATAATTGTGGAACATGCGCGGAAATGAGGAGGGACAGTTTGAGGACATACAAGGATAATCGGGAACTTAATTATATGTTTAGTCAGCTTTTTAAACCTTCTATTACATTCCTGGAGATTTAGTTATTTTGAGTATCCCATTTCATAGCATGGGTGGTCAGAACAGGGCAGAAACCCGAAATACAAGTGAAACTAAATTTCTGAAAAAAGTCTCGAAAACTATTTCGCTATAAAATTAAAGGGGTTATTTTATTTGTGTGCAATGTCATCTCTAGAAAATTAGAAGTCATACTCGTTCACCATACCAGGCTCTAAAGTACACATGTTGTTTTCATGAGGGCAGTCTTCATTAAACGCCAGCAGAGGAAAAATCTTTGTTACGATCTCCGTTAAAGGGCCTTAAGTTCTTAAGATTTTATACACTCATATCCTGAATGGGAGTAGAGCCAATATATCCTGAAAAACATTCGCGCACCACTTCATTACTCATTATTAATCATTTTGGAATTTCTGTTTCATTCTACGAGTGAATGTCACTTCCCAGTAACGGCCTCTTGCGTTCGAGAAGGAACACGTTCTATGAAAAAGAGCAATTTTTTTAGTCGCTAATCCTCGCGTGTTTGTTGACACAAATGCTCTTTCGGCTGCTTTCCGGTAAATACATTTTTTTACAAACTACCCCACTACGCGCGTTTTTACGTGAACAGTACACAAACACCAGCACGTGCGGAGGAGAAATGCGCGTGCATACATGTGCACACATACTTTTGGCAACCTAAAACATATGCGCGTTTATTTTGTGATTAGAAAATGTGTGTCATTAAATTATATGACTACTTTTTTCCTTCCAAAAGCGCTGTAGCTCAACTAGAGTTATATTGATATACCGACTGCATCCCGCGGTGAACTTTTTTTAAGCCGTTTACCTACATCCCGAAAAATGCATTGTTCGACTTTATCCCATTCTGTTTTTTTCTTCTCGTTAGTGTAAGAATTGATTTCTACGTTTTCTGTACAATACGTTTGCTGTTGTATTATATTGATCGATTATAATATTGAACTACTACGGTGCGTTTTCAAGAAACGTTTGCACCTCCGTTTTGTACTAAGTTGTGGAAACAAAACGTGAAATATTCTATCAGGAGCATTTTATTACGTCGATGACTTAACACACACTATTCCGAAGATTCTGTTCACATGTATTCGATGTTTTCTCTAAACTGGGGGGACAGCATTACTCAAGAACGCAAAAGTTAACTAAAACATGTACTCCATCCAGAACACCCGATGAACGAAACGGGCTTCAGTCAGGTTGTGCCTTCATAGGTAACAAGTGAAAGGCGATAGGAATTTAAAGTGTGATTATTTACATTACCTGAAGACACAGGCCAAGAACTCCGAACTTGACATTTTTCATTGAATGACTACATACTCTCTCTCTCTTTGGTTTGTTCAATTTGACCTTACAAAAGTTGTCTTCTCTCTCTGATTGATTGATTAGTGATTAATTGAGGGTGCGTCAACGGTAATCTCATTAGTCCTGTAGTGTGTAGTGCGTGCATTATGCGGGATGTGATGCTGTTCTTCCTCTACCGCTAGGGTGTGGTGGGATCGACTACACGTGTCCGTGCAGTTTTCCCCAACCAGATATCTCCCACCAACGGGGCACCGCAGCGCGTTCTACGCTCCCGATTGGTCTTCCGACAATATGATAGTGTAGTGCATGTACGTGGTGTTGTGTTTGTATGTGTATGTCTGTGTGTGTGAAGGAGTGAGGATACAAGGAAGAGGAATGAAAGATCGGCGGCGTCGCCCGTGCCGTTTGTGAGGGTACTGCTCCGGCATTCCTGGTGTTGATCGGAGAACCACTACGATCAGAGCAGGAGACTGAACTCGATGTACTTGTGTAGCTAGTGTAGGAAATCTCCAACCGTCGTGGGTGGCACCCTAGCTCACCGTCAGAGGCACTGCAGCCACCTCTCGCGTATGTTTGGTAGACTCTAACGGCGGAGAACTCTCACAAAAAACTTGCAATGCCGGAGCAGTACCAAACAAACGGGACTCGGACTGCGCGGCGATCTTTCCTTTCTGAACTTCGATCCCTCTCTCTTTACACTTTCACACACACACACACACACATACTCGGACCACGCCAATCTTTTCTTCGCAGTCCTTGTTCGATCCTCAACCCCTTAGTTACACACCTTTACACTTTCATGCACTATATTAGCACACGTGTCGGAGTCCAGACAGCGGCGTATGCGGCGCAGAGGGGCAAAAGCAACTCCAGCTCCCGCGATGTAGCGTGTACTACACTTTACGGGACTAATGCTCGTATCAGTTGACGTCCGCACCGCTCTCGTTCGCCCGCCTTTCTACGGAGCGGCTTTACGCCGTCGCTGTGCGAACGCGGCTGTTTGCACACGCTGCTTCCTCAATTTCCTCAGATGGAACCGGAGAGGGGAGGGCAGTGAGGAGCTGGGCCGAGCAAGGAGAGAATGAGGGCGGCGGAGTGCTGTGGAGGTCGGGGAGCGGCGTGGGAGAGGCAGGGAGGTGGGCGGGATTGGACCAGGGGATAGAGGGTGTGGTGAAGGGGGGAGGAAGGCTGTTGATAGGAAGCCAAGGAAATGAGGCTGCGGTGAAGTGGCTGCAGACGAAGGCAGCGGGCGAGTTGCGGGGGCCGGGCAGTGGAGGAGGCCGGGCAGTGGGCAGGGCAGTGGGCTAGGGCAGTGGCACGGGCAGTGGCCACGGGCATGGGCACGGGCAGTGGGCACGGGCAGTGGAGGGCATGTGGGCACGGCATGGGTCAGGGCAGTGGCCAGCCAGGGGGCGGCAGTGGGCACGGAGTGGAAGCCAGTGGCACGGGCCAGTGGGCCACGGCAGTGGCAGGGCAGTGGGACGGGCAAGTGGGCACGGCCAGTGGCAGGGCAGTGGGCAACGGGCAGTGGGGCAGCGGGCAGTGGGCACGGGCGTGGGAACGGGAGTGGGCACGGGCAGTGGGCGAAGCAGTGAGGACGGGCCAGTGCACGGGCAGTGGGTACGGGCAGTGGGTACGGGGCGTGGTCCAAGCCAGTGGGACGGACAGGGGAACCGAGCCGGTGGTGGTGCGGAAGCGAAGAGGGGCAGCAAGGAGGGGGGTGGGCGGGGTGGGGTGGGGGGTGTTGCGAGGCGGCG